GAAGGCTGAGGCCCTATCACAGCACTAGTTAATCACAGCTGCACATCACACCCCCATCACAAAATATTGCCACAAACACACTGATAACAGGCCATTGTTCTGTTATGATTTAATTATGTTGCTTAAAATCTTGGGCTGTGTGAACTGTCCCAGTTTATATTTATTTTGATTGTTTTGTGGTTTTTCTCGGTTATATTATGGCATCCGGTATAGAAACAGAAACCACTTCACCAGCATCCCAACTGAGTAAATCAATTTTGAACTTTTTAAGTTTAAACCATACTATAGGTTATTTTTCTGATTTGGAAGTTACATCAGATCATGCTTCACAGATTCGTCAAAATTTCAAAGCTTTCCTACTGACAGAAAAGGAATGATGATATCTTGCAAATTTGAGATTTGAAATGTACTGTTTTAATGAGTAATATCTTCCATTCCCCTCCCCAAAGTTCTGTTTGAAGCGCAACTAACCATCATATGAATGTAGCTACAGGGAAACATTTGTCTCATCTCTAACCTCGGGCTTTACAGAAGCACTGCTCTGGCACTAATCATTAAATCAGAGCAGAAAGAATCTCCACTGCCTAAAGACAAACACACTGTAGGGGGCAGCGCACTTGCCCTGAAATGTAACTAATGAATATACTCTTCTCAAACAGTCTTTTTGTCACGTTTCATCTTCTGCTGCAGTGTTGAAGACATTTGACATTGAATTTATAGCTACTATATAAATTTATAGCTATTATGTTGTGTTTTCTGCAAAAACACTGAAGTCTCCCTAAGAAATCAGTGCAAAAATTATCAAAAAATAAAAATACAAAAATAAAAACATTTCCGAAGCATGAAGAGGAGCTGAACTCTTTTGGTATCAAGACAAACAGTCAGCTGTATCCTTAAAAGTAGTGGTTTCAGCCTTTTTCACTCCAAGCCCCCATTAAGATTACATGACTTTTACGGTTGTTCCAGTTGCTGTACTTCTGCACTGATTTTTTTAAACATTTTGTTTGGCAAACATAGTAGAGTGTTAAAGAACTAGAGAAATGTATAATAAAAGTGCCCACATAATTGTATGATTATATTACATTAATTGACTTCTCCACATCTAGAAATCACACTATTAAAATGAGGCTTACATATACCTCCAGATTATTCATGGCATTTGTTTAGGAGGTAAATTAAAAATAACAAATATCTTGTTTTTATTTGTTTTGTCTTACTTTAAATCATTTTAATCATTTTGAGGGCCACCTGGGCCCTTCCCTCTAAATGAGTATATAATGTATCATTTTTACTATGCACTTTACATGCTTTTACAGATCAATAGTTACAAATGTGCACCAAACGAAATTTACTTCAATTACCTGTTGATGTTGTGAGTCATAACACACCATATGTGGCATTTTATTTAAAATTATATATATATATATGATAAATATATATATTATAGTTCTTATATGTTATTTTGTACTTATTTGTGGAGTAAGTTCTCAATTATTGGTTTAAGTTGTTTGTGTATTTATTTATTTTTTCATTGCCATGAACTATTAATTTGTTGATGCTAACAAACATAAAAACAGATTGCTCTATATACAAGTTGAAATTATTCAAAGCTAAACTATTGATTCGCAGTCTATCCTGTTTTTCTAAAGTAGCCGGGATGAAGTTAAAGTGAAAATGCAAGTAAAAATGCTTCCGAACAACAGCAGTTGCTAAATATATAATTAGTATGACTGGAATAAGTTTATCTGGCTTATCTATGACTGAGCAAAACTAGACTAGACTTTTTATAAGTGGCTGCTCCCTAGTGGTGACAAGTAGAATCACACAGCACAGAATCTACGAGTGCCAAAAGCTTTCCTTCAGGATACATTACAGTTACACTGTCGACGCAATATTTACAGGTACATTTTCCATACAATATCTCACAACTGCTTCACAGACAGCATATATAAGGGGTATGGTTTAAAAACGTGTTTATATTTCCACAGTTCACTACAATTGCATCATAAGAAGTTCTCAAAGGTATACTTTACCCAAAAATTTATATTGCGTCATCATTGCTCTCATTTCTTCTGAAAACTGTTGCAGGATGTCCAAAACTGTATACTCCAAAGAATTAAAGAAGATTTGCAGAAGTTTGCACTTCTGTTGGATGACATGAGAAAATGTTGAACTTTGTGCACAAGTTGTATGGATATTTTGACGCACATTATAATGCTAAGTTGTCCTTTTTAGAGCATGACCGCTCAGCTTTGGCAACTTAAAACATCCCAACACCCCACAAAAACAACGAAAAGCACATTCAGGGGTGAACATGGTACACATGAAAGACCTAGTCATATAAACTTAAATGCACAATATGTAAAACATTTTTATTAAAATATCCAAAAACCACTAGAACAGTGTTATATATTTTGCTGACTTGTGTACTTCCATTATCCCAAATGTTTCGAAGAATGTTTAAATCCAGAGAAAAAAGCAATTTTAACTAGTGACACGCATGGCCGTACCCAGGCTTTGAATATAGTGAGGTCTGGGGGGCGGGTGGGGGTTGGGGTTAAAGAATTGTGTTATAATAACCCCTACAAATACAACTCATTATATACATTATAAACACTTTAAAGGAGACAGACATGTAGATGTTTGTGAAAGATGCTTCCTATGTTTTGGAGGGATGATTATTTTTAAAATGTGTTAATACTTTACTAGCCTATATTTAAGGGTGGATAATTTTATCAGTTGTTTATTGCAACAATACATAATTACAAGAACAATATTTAAAGGCACACGTTCAGTTTTGTGTGAGTGAAGGAAATCCGCTTGGGAGTGGAGAGCTTCGTCCTCGCGCACATGGATCGCGCAGTGCTGTTATGAAAGTTTATAGCATGAGTTGTGAAAATTTAACTGTACTGAATGACATGGCATAGACTTCTTCATGGCTAGTTTTTGCGTATTTCATTTCATTCTGTAACCTACTTGTTCTACAGATCTGTGTGTAGCACTGGC